TGAGAGAAGAATAACATTATGAGATTGTTTCCTTGAAATCATTTGCTCTGTCACATCATATAAGCTCAAATTTCGCTTGAGGCTACAAGAAAAAGCTTTGAACCTTACAGAGTATACTAAAGTCAAACTTCACATCGAAAGGCTACCAACTCTTCAGTAGTAAACTTCTTAGTCTAACGATCATCTTTCAAGAGAAGCTACATACATATAAAAAAAACTTGAAGAGAAGATTTTGTTGATGAAAAATGGCAGAAAGATAACATAAGAAGAATAACAATGCGAAAAGAGAGAAAAGCTTAAGGTGCTCTTATATCATTTAACTATCAATATCTTTTGAGAGAAAAATCTTTATAAAGAGAGTAACACTTTCTAGTGTTATAGATTGTATTTGAACATATATCGTTTTGCTGAGAGTTATTAGTCTATACCTTGTAGAAAATCTATTTGAGAATTTGTTGCAAGTTCTAAAGAGAACTTAAATACTTGGTTGTTTGGCTCAAGTTGAGTTGAACGTCTAGACAGTTTTCTAGGATAATATCCTAGAGAGGCTAAACTAGCTCTAGTCGTGTTGATTAGGGAATCAGGAGTGGTGGTAATACTCGTTGTAACTAGGAGTGGTGTTAATGTTTGTTGTAACTAGGAGTGGTGAGAATACTCAATGAGATCCCAGAGAGGAAAAACTCATGTAATCTTTGAAAAGATTAGTGAAACCCCTTAAGAGTTTGTAATGGAGAATTGGATGTAGCTTATGTTATGTGAACCAGTATAAAAATATGTGATTTATTACTTTCCTATCCAAAACATTTTCCATTCACTTATCTATGAAAAGACCAATGTCTAAACATTTTATAACTCATATATTATCCTTATAAATCATTAGACGTTGTTTTGTGAAAAGAGTTTTAAAAACACCATTCACCCTCCCCCCTATAGCATTGAATGGTGCATGTCAAAGGAACAGAGGAGCAGATGAGAGAGAGAAAAATGCAGACTTCTTTGTCACATTACCACGGAGTTAACTCCGTTTCTACAAAATTAACGGAATGGACTTGATTGGTGCAATTATACAAAGTGGGGACGAAATTGAGCCTTTTTTAAAAAGGGGAACGAAGTTGACACTAACCATTGAATTTGGAGACCAACTAAGCAATTAAACCTATGTAAGTAAAGTCAATGAATATAAATAAAAAAATGTATATGAGTAAATGAAGCTTTATTAGAGTGAATGACATAAGCCTAATCTATAAAATTTCCTAGATTTCTTGTATGTTATTCTTCTCTAAGATGACAAAACTTCTTAAACAACATCATTCAGTGCTCAGATAGAGGGGGGTCGTGTGCTTGGGCTAGGTGGTTGAGTAGGTTTGAAGAAAGTTTTTCCAAAAACATTTTTTAGGATGTTGAGGAGGGTTTGAAATTTTGCTTGTTATTCTTTCTTGTTTGCTTGGAACATTGCGAAAATTATAGCTTGTTAGTGCATATTGCTTTCAACAATCAAATGATGAACATGGGTCATGAGGGCTTGAGAGTTTGGGTCAAATGGTAAAGGAGGTAGGTTTAACGAGGTATCAATTGATATGATGGCTAAAGGTTGTGGTTGAGGAATCATTTGTTTTGAAGGGTTGGTTGTGACCATTTAAGAGTTGGGTTTGTTAAGTTGAATTGACAATGGTAATATTAGTTTAGGTGGTTCAATGATGGGGTTAGTGTCTTCAAGAGGTTGGATAAAGATTTGTTGAGATGGTAAAGGGTGGTTTGGATAGATGTTTGTTGAGGTCGTCTCTTTCTTCTTTTTTGTGAAAAAACTTTATATAAAATCTGAAGAAAATAGTTGTTACAAATTCATTTCTAGTCATTGAACATATTTAACTCTTTTGAATATTCTTTTTACATATGACAACATTAATTGTGAAGAATGCATTAAATTCACACCATAAAACATTAAATATCTTTTATACAAATATTTTTTTCTTTACATAATATCTTCGTAGTTGAATGTACGTGTCTCTTCTTTAACCATGTGTCTTTATTTAAATTTTACTAAATTGCAATATCGTATGAAATAGATAATTTTTACAAAGTTTACCATGTTAGCATTTTAGAAATGTTGAAGAAAATAAGTTTTAGCTTTTTATTTAAGTTGGAAGATAGAAGTAATAATAAACATTCCATGCAACATATAATAAACATATGTGTATGTATGTTTTCATGTGAGTGAAGTTGACTTAAGTTTAAGTTCTATCATTTGAGTATATTCATGTTTTATCAAATGTAAAACAAGATTGTATAGTATCGTATTATTTAACAAGCAAAATATTTTTATCTTTAATGATTTATTGTTGAGTTGTAGATATTATCTTACAAAATATTATAGCATCGTATACTTAATTATTTTCAACGTTTAACTAAAATCGAGAATTTTACTCAAACATTTAAAATCAACACTTTTACTGAAACATTTAAAAATATTATAATTTGTGAAAATATATACTATTTATTTTTGTTTTCCCTCAATTAAAAAAAAGGGATAAAATCACCTAAAATATATAGTTATATACCCATTCCTTTAAATTGTAGTTCTACAATAACAAAATATATTACATTATATAACAACGTGATATAGTTAATTAAGTTACATAACATAATCAGTTGTTACATTAAATAGCGTAAATTGGGTTATTTATAATCTAATATAATTACTTATTGTATAATAAAATAATAATAAATGAAATTTAAAGCATAATAACAATAAAATTAATTTTATAAAATAATAATATTAATACTAATAATAATAATAAAATTATAAAATAATTAATAATATAAAATTATAAAAAAACTATAAATGATAATAAAATTGTAAAATAGCAGTTGTAATAATAAAAATAATAAAATTAGAATCAAATTAATAATAACAATAATAATAACTTTATAACATAATACAAATAATAAAAATATTGATAATGATTAAAATTTATAGAATAAATTATAATTTGACATTTGACTAAAATTATTTTATAATAACAAGGATACTTTAGTTATTTTATAAATATATTATTTAGTAATTTATTTTAAATATATTATATTTTTTAAATAACTTACAAATTTTCACAAACTTATCTTTACTTTTAGGTTTAAATATTATTTTGGTCTCTATTTTCATCGACTTTGTTTATGAGATTTTTATTTTCAAGTATTAAATATGATTCCAATTTTCATAATTTGTTTAATTTGAACTATTTTCATGATATTGTCTAAATCATTAGCGGGCAAATGAACATTGTATATCATGTGTTAATTTGTGTTTTTTATTTTAAATTTTTTATTAATTATTTTTAGATTTTTTTCATTTAAAGAAAAAAAGTTGTCCACATATCAAGTCAATTGTGTCACGTGACAATGTCAATGTTACATGTGAAAAATGTTAGTGTCACATGTTAATGTCTTATACTCAATTCAATCTTAATTTTTGTAAATTTTATTCAATTTAATCCCAATTTTTTTTAATTTTGTTTAATTCAATTCCAATTTTGTTCTTCTCTAAATTAATATTAAATTTAATTTTTACTAAAATTCACATTTTTATTAACTTTTTTTAAACCAACTCTAATATTGAAATATAATTATTAAATTTATGTTTATTTTTTTTACATATAAAAAATAGGATTAGAGTTTGTTTAAAAATATGAAGAATTTTTATTTTTAAAAATTCTTCTACTTTTAAAAATAATAAAGAATTTTTATTCCAATTTAAAAATAAATTAGAATTTTGTTCTAATTTTATAAATAAACTATAATTTCCCTTTTCTAATTTTAAAAATAACAAAGAATTTTTTTTATAATTTTAAAAATAACGAAGAAATTTCCTCCTAATTTAAAAAATTCTTTCTAATTTTAAAATAATGAATAATTTTTCATCAACTTTAAAGATAATGAAAATTTTTCTTCTAAAATTTAAAATTGAGACTGAACTGAAGAAAAATAAAAATTTGAAATTAAATTGAACAAAAAATAACAAAAAGTTTGACACATAGTATATTGTCATTGTCATGTGATTCAATATTGATTTAACAAGAAACAATTTTTTTAAATTAAGAAAAAAATCTAAAATAAATAATAAAAATTATAAAAAAAAACTTTAAATTTTTTTAAAAAATTACAAACTAACATATGATACACATTACTCATATGCATTAACAATTTAGACAATATCATAAAAAAAAAAGATTAAATTAAACATAAATTACAAAAATTAAGACCACAAAAAATAAATAAATTTCACATTACACACAAGAGTATTTAAACCTTACTTTTATATTTTTCTTAATTTACATTGAAGACAAAAACATTAACTATCACATTAAATAAATCCCATTAAGATTAAAATACATATTAAACCATTATATAAATATAAAAATAGTATAGAATTTCATCCCTATTTAAATAAATAAAAATATCTAATTTAGATAAATAATGAGTGAAAAATATTAACATTTTTAATTTAAATTTATTGAAAGTTAAAAACTTTAGTTAAATATAATTTGTTCATTTATATATTTTATTTTAGTTACATGTTTAAATAATATAAAATCTTCAACATATTTCTCAGGACAAAAATTAGACAGCTTAAATATGATATTAGACTTTTGTAAATACGAATATCATTGAAATATACTATGATATCTATTCAAAAATAGGTTTAGTTCTAAGTAAATTTTACAAGTAAATAGAAACCACGTGGAATTGGAACATTTCATATAACATAAATAGAATCACAAGTAAACAATCTTTCTATAGAAATACCAATATAGAAATATCCACTTAGTCAAATTTTGAAGTGTCTTTACTATATACCCAAAACAAGAACTTCAATTGTTTATTCTGTGAAGTAGTGTTTCTTTATGTTAAGTTATTTCAACTTTGGCTAAGGAATTCTCCAAATAGTATTTGGTGTCTTTTATGTCTATATGCCTCTTATTCTGCAGGATATGGACTATTGATCCTTTGCATACAAACCAAGGGCATGCATGCATTCAATGTACCCACTCTGGCAGAATAGGTAAAAGAAAGTAGTAAAGTAAAGCCACTATCTGTATTAAATTTTGAACACTACAATGCAAAGCGGCTCCCACTTCCATCCAGAAAACGATCTGTATGCCACCCTTTGCACTCTAATTCTTTCAGAAACACAGGGAACACCTCATTCATTTTCTCATAGGCCTGCAGCAGGGTACTGTTACTGAGATCATGAGAGGACTTGTCAAATTGTACAGAATATGCAGCAACCAGCCACCCTCTCAATGCATCTTCACCAATAGCATCTTTCTCCAATACCATATCAATGCACCTATTATCACCATTTAAAAGAAACTTCTCCCCAGGGAATACTTGTTTTGATTCAAGAAGCTTTGAAGGCTTAATTGCCTTGTGCAAAGCCCTACCCACTCTTACGTTTCCAGCATCTTCTATTAGCTTCCGAGGAAATAGTAAATCTTCTCGATATCTTAGATCAGCTGGGCTTGATACGTTTCCAGCCTGGCTTGTACTCAATCAACAGTCCAACAGAATTTCAGTTTCACAAATAAAGAATGGAAACCAAGAGTTCATTTACAAAATCTCATACCACACCTTAAGAAAATCAGCCACAATCAATGCAGTTCTTTGTGGATTCAAGGTATTGACAGGAGTAGCTCTCATTTCTTCAGTAACGCTGTAAATGTGTATAAATGATAGTAGGGGCCCCACAACCAACTAACAAGAAAGAAATGTTTTATATTCCATCAGTTTGCATTCATATAAATTCATAATTATTATTTCAGTAGTTGGGCTTATTATTTCTATAAAATAATAATAATAAAGTATTTTCTTTTAGTAAAATGCTTTTAATGGAAAATAACCAATATGGTTACCACAGCATCTACCAAAATCCCATAATTTTTACATAATATGTTGCTCAAAATTTTGGTACGGGTCTATACCTTTCCCTGCATTGATGCACATACAGTCGAGGCTAATTGAATTCCAACTCCAATTCCAACAACATTGAAGAGAGTTGAAATAGCTTCCCCTCTAGCAAATAGGTCACTTAGGTTTCCTTCTTTAGCGAATGAAGAATATATAGGTAATCTCGTAGCTCTTGATGCAACAACTGCCATCCCCTGTTGAGTCCAAAATAAATGGAAAGGTAAGTGTTTGATATATTGCTCTTATGTTAATTAGGGAAACATAGTCCCTCTTATAATTATGTTATTTTTACGTGTTCATTTGTATTTAGGCTTAACCAACATTCTCATTATTACGATTAGATATATTGCATTTTATGTTAATTAGGAAAACATAGATATTTGATATTGTTTTACATTGGTAGATATTGTATGTAACAATATCCTCTATTTAACATATTGATATTTTTTTGTCATATATACTTGTATAATTCTTGATTATAAATATATTACCCTATGTGTATTATAGACATTAATCTTATACCTGGTTTTACTTTATATTTAACAGGGTATCTAGAGCTTAGGTTCTTTGGTCCTATTTTTCCGTTGCATGCAACTGCTACTGCTGCCATCATCATCAACGAAGTGCATTTTAAACCGAAGACCACACGGTTTTGATTGCCTCAGCCAGAAGACCTCCACATTGCAAGAATCGCCGCCATCAGAGCATCCACACTCCATCACGCGCCATTCAAAGTTGCACCATTGTCTTCCTCATTGTCACACGTGGCGACACATCACGACCCTCTCCAGCAGCGATCACCTGCACCGAGATTGCCTTTTTAGGCTCTTTGTGGATCTTGCCTCATTGATCCAATCAAACCCCTTTAGTGTTTTAAGGTTTTTCTCTCTCTTCTTCCATGGCGTCTTCCGCTACCGATTCCACTTCCACTGCCACCAATGTGTCTATCCTGTCAATCTTTACTAACTAAGTCAATGCGCACTTGTCCATTGGTAAGTTAGATGACACTAATTATGCAACTTAGACGTCAAACATTAAACTTTGGCTTGAGAATCAGGAGTATCTTGATCATCTTTCTGAAAAAGTGACAAATATTACTCCCGGTGGTTTTTCCCATTGGAAGAGAATTGTTACTCAATTATGTATGGTTCTCAAGAATACCATTCAATCTTCTTTAAAACAAATGTTTCGTGCCTACGACAATTTATTATATACCAATGATACTCAACGTCTCTATGGTGTTTGTCACGACCTTTTCAATGTTGTTACTTCTTGAAATCAAGACTTTGGCTGATTATTTGTGTAAGATTCATGCTCTTTTTCATGAATTTAATGAGGTATTGCCTCCTGCCTCTACTCCCGCCTTAGAACTAGAGCAATGGTAAAAGTTTTTCATGGTATTGCCTTTACACATATTGAATGATATATATTCTTAAGTCCGTGATCAGATTTTAGGTTCCCCTGTTATACCCAATTTTACTTCCACCTGTTTCACCTTTTTGCATGTGCCATGTAAATCTATCAATGATACACTTGTTTATGCCAATGATTCCTTTGCTTTGGCATCTCAACATGATGATCACAACCGCTCTTGCAAACCAGGAAAAGATCATCACAAGTGTGACCATTGTGGCAATCTAGGCCACAAGATTGACAGGTGTTATGCATTACATGGTTGTCCTCCTCGCTCTACTGCTATTGCTCAGACTAATTCCTCCTCACAATCATCTATTGTGGATCCTCCTCCATCTAATACCATTTGCTCTCTTTAATGAATTTCTTAAATGGAGTGAGGATCATCAACCCTCAAGTTCCACTGCTTTTGTTGCATGCATAGCTACATCTTTGGTTGATTTGACTCAATCTTCGTCTATTTCTTTAGGTTCTCGACTCAAGAGCCACATATCTCATTATTGGTAACAAATCTTTGTTTTCCTCTTTATCCTCTTCGGATAATTTACCTTATGTTACAATGGCTAATGGGTCTAGAGTTTTAGCTCGTGGTGTTGGGATTGTTAACCCTTTTTCCTTTTTTATCCATTGATAATGTTTTTATGTCCTTAGGTCTACTTTTAACTTATTATCCATTAGTCGTCTAACTCGTTCTCTTGATTGTGTTATTTCTTTTACCAAAACTTTTGATTGTTTACAAAACCGGAGTGCGATACAAGTAAAAGCTACAAAACTGCAGGGACTACACCCATGCTAAACTTCCATACTTGGTTTGCAGGATGGGTGATGGAATCAACAGTAGTAGCTGAAAGTTACAAAACTGCAGGGACTACACCCATGGTGGACTGACATTTCCTTTGCAGTGTTGTCTTGGAACGATACTCCCCCTCAGTGTGAACGGCATGGCGGAAACGGTGAAATTGTTGACTGAGATTGGAAGTATCACAGTTGCTGCTCCGAAGATCAAAAAGATTTGCAATCTTAAGAAATTGACAAAGCGGCAAAAATAGTGAGAAAAAGGCAAGAACAACAACACAGAGGCGAAACCCCCTACGGCAGAGCTGGAGGATGACGAAAGCGGAAAAAGGTAGGACTAGGCGCTGGTCCATCAACGGCGGAGACGAAGACAGACGAAGATGGCAGCAATGGCTGCTCTGGAGGGTCTGAACAGAGAGAGGGAGGTCCGGCGAGACGACGGGCAGCGGCGCGGTTTGATGCCGACGCCGAGAAGGCGGCGCGTGATGAACACGCGTCCGAGATCTACCGAAGAGAGGAGGCGCGTGACGGCGCATGCGGACGAGACAGAGACGACGACCACCAAGGTTAGGTCGCGCTTGAAGAGACGGTCCAGATCCACTGGACACCGGTCGGAACTGTGACGGTGGCCGACGAGAAGGCGGCGCGTGACAAACACGCACCCGAGACTAGCTGAAGACAGGCGGCGCGTGGAGGCGCGTGAAGAGGAGTCTGGTCTTGACTCCGACGAGGTTGGCCATCGGTCTAGATCCATTGGACACCGATTGGAACTGTGACGGTGGCCGACGAGAAGGCGGCGCGTGACAAACACGCACCCGAGACTAGCTGAAGACAAGCGGCGCGTGGAGGCGCGTGAAGAGGAGTCTGGTCTTGACTCCGACGAGGTTGGCCGTCGCTCGAGGAAACGGTCCAGATCCACTGGTTACTGGTCGAAACCGTGACGGTGGCCAGCGTAGATCGGAGAGATCTGATGCTCGTGGCGACCGTGAGGGAGAAGTAGCTTCCGAAACTGACGTGTTTGGCCGTCGCTCGAAGAGACGGTCCAGATCCGCTGGTCACCCGTCGAAACTGTGACGGTGGCCGGCAGCGGATAGAGGTTGGCGGCGGACAGTGGCTGGCGACGACAGAGAGGGGCGATCGATTGGGTTGCGGCTCGCGACGGCTGACTGTTACGGAGGGAGTGTCTCTCTAGGGTTCCAGGAGACTTTAGGTCTCTTTGATTCTGGGTGCTGAGATTTAAGAAGAAGAGAAAATGGATCTTATGAAATTTTTAGGGGCTGCCGGCAGCCATGGCGGCCGGCCGCCGGCAGACAGCAAAGACCACCAGAAGAGATCAGAGAACCTGCTCTGATACCATGTTAAAATGGAATACAAGAATATGTATTACTTGAGGTCTTAAACACCTCTACACTTACATTTATAGAAAACAAAGTAACTAACCACACTCCTTTCCAACTCACTCTTAGTTGGAACACACTTGAACACAACTCATACACACATAACTCATACACAATAACCAATAATTCTAACACTAACTTTTATACATGATTGTACCTAGGTGGCTTGAGTTTTTCTGTGGAAACACGAATTTGAAGTTAGTTTTGATTTTATTTAGTTTGTCAAAATAATTAAGAATCAATTCAGAGCCAATATTAAGATAATTAGGTCTGAAAATTCCAAGTACAGCTTTAATCTTGAGTTCAGCTCTTTCTGTCAAAAAGAGAGAGGATAATCCATGAGTCTTCATGTGTTAACACACCTTAACAAAATTGGATGGCTAAAATAAAAATTGGACGCTTACTAGAACAAACTAAAGCTCTACTTTTCCATATCATGTTCCGAAGAAATTTTGGGAAGAAGTTTTTCTTACTCCCACATATCTTATCAATAAGTAACCCTCTAAAATCTTAGGATAAAAAAGTCCCATGAAAGTCCTATCTTCATTTTATCCATACCTAGACCCTAGAAATAAACTCCAACCTAGAATATTTGAGTGTGTATCCTTTGTGCATATTCATAGTAATGGAAGGGGAAAACTAGATCGCAGGGCTATCAAGTGTGGTTTTTTTTGGATACTCAACCACGCAAAAGGGTCATAAATGTACCCACCATCCAAAAACAATTGTGTTAAAAGATATCACCTTCAATAAACAAGAGAGCTACTTCAAGTAGCCTCATCTTCACAGGGAGAATAAAAGAAAGGAATATGAGATCAATAAATGCCACCATGTAAATTAATTTTAAAAACTCAATAAAAATGCGTACCTTGGCAAAATTTCCAAGGCCAGCCATTTCAAGAAAGAGCTGAGGACATAAAGGAGAAAGCACTTCCAAACCAGTGCCTATATCATAGAGCACATCAGCTGCAAGATGGAAGGCTTATTCAAGTCATACACCATAGAATATGAAAAATAAAAGCTAAAATAAGAAAAAAGGAAAATGTTCCAACTTTAATGCAAACCTAAAATTCTCCAACGTTTAGGCTCAGAATCCATTCTTGCACCTAAATTGCTGCATATGAGATTCCCTAAATGTTGCATGCCATCCTTTAAAATCTGAATATTGGCAAGAGAAACGAATTATATATTAAGTGCATGGCACAATAACTGGTATGTGAAATCGTCAAAATGCAAAGTAGCCTCAAATTACCCAACTAACGGCAGTTGCTTGTGCAGGGGTGGGCCGCAAGCCTGCAGCAAATAGCAGTGACTGCAGAAGAAAAAGCATACGGAACAAGAATACTAACAGAAATGGACCAGAAAATGTGGCAAACATGTGATTTTTATCAATAGTCAATCCAGATCTGATTAGAAATCAGAGTGATACAGAACAAAGACTAAGAACACAGTGTGATAAAGAAGGATTATTCCCTCCAGCAAACTTCCCTCTCCCCTTTCTCTTTTGTGTAAAAAATAACCTTCCCCACACCATCTCTCCTTGTGCTTCCTTATAACAAACTATTGTATAAAAAGAAACTAAATGGTAACTTCAAATATTAATGAAAGCTTAGTGCTCTAATTTTCTATATTCCTTCTTCCCAATTAAGACTCTTGTTGGAGAAGGGCTAAATGAGACTCACTTAGAACTTAATTGTTTAGTAAGGATCCTTCCGTAAGAAAATAGTTGATTAATAAAAAGAACATGCTCCATATATACACATTGCAGTATATTTCATAGCCACATCAGCTTTGCTGGACTCTTTCGCTTCAGCACTTCTCTAGTTGTCTTGTTATGCCACCTCAACTTCTCTTTCAACTCTTATTTCAACTTATGGCAATAAATACTCTTTGTGTCAAAAGAAAATTTTGCGTACTCTTACATTATAATGTCTAGTTTTAGCTTTATTTCTTTTAAGAAATGTGTAACTCTTCATGATAAATGACTCTAACTATTCCTCTATTCTTCCAGTTTCCTTGACTAACATTTCCTTTTGCTCTTAGCTTTAACCTTGCAGTTTAGCAAAGAGCTCATTCCAAATCCTACATCACCTAGAAATAAGACCAAATTATAATATTAAAGTAGAGTGCAAACCTCATATTACAAACAATTTGGTGAGATTAAATTAGGCATAAACTCACTCATTAAGATGGTATCAAAGTCATTAAGAATCTATCCTAATCAAGTTCTTTGGGGCTTTCAAGACCACCCATAAATATCTAATCTAATACTAGAGATGTTCATTCATTAGCCTGATGAGATGTTTTGAAGATCCCACATTTACTAAAAGTAAGGTCAAATTATAAAATATAATTGGAGTGCAATCTTCATTTTATGAGCTAATTTTGTAAGGTTGAGTAAGACACAAACCCACTTACTAAGAGTGTAGATGTGGAAGTCAAATGTCAGTTACGATAATATGAGATAATAAAGTAATACACCAACTATAGTTATCCTTCACATGCCAACATCTACTATGTTTGGATAAGCTTATAATGAGGAAGTGACCTCTACTTAAAAAAAATAAAAACCCAAGTCCAGCTGGTTTCAACACAATATTCGAAACGAACAGGTTTTAATTAAAAGAGTCTAGCATGAGTCATTAGGAAAGCGGATACATGATTTGCTGATGTTCTCAAGTTATTAGAAGAAGACCTGAGTCGATAACACAGATAGAGCTGCACTGGCAGTGTGTTGCAGTGCTCGAAACTGTGTGTATCTGAGGTAACCTTCATTCACACTGCAAAGCGAACACCCAAAAAAATGTATTAGCTAATCAAATAAACTATCATTGCACGCAACATGCTCAGGAAAAGAACAAAGAACCTGTACGGATATCCTGAAGGGAAAAATTTATTCAGGAATGAGTCAACTATCTTGTGGTATAACGGCCGGGAATCACCAATGGTAGTCACCTACAGAGAAACCAAAAATAAAATGCTGTAAGGCAGTGCAGCAAAAACATTTTTAAGAAATACACAATCTGTTTTCACCATTGTACCAAAATTTGGAAACATAAAACAAAGTGAAATAAGATACTTCCTTGAAAGTTTAAAAGAAAAACAAAATGCATTTCCATGGAAAAAGTAAAAAATAAAGGGAAACAAAATTTTAGCTAATTAATTTTTTTGAATCACACTTTTGTGGAAAGTTTCCTTAAATTTGTGCAAGATCTCCCAACCAATAAGAAGAACAATGCTTATACGAAATTTCACCTCCGCAGTTGGTGTCGTTATATCGACCTTTAATACAAATTTTTATTATAATTTTGATTAAAAAACAACACCGAAAGCACCAATGAGGATAAGTAGTAGGATTATACGGAAAGTTGGCCATGGGGTTCGAACTGGAAGCGGCGACAAACAGATACAGAGGTTTCGAACCACAACACAGGAGGGCTTTCACATTCTTTGTCTGTTTTTTTCTTCCAAATTTTCAGCTTCTCCTAGTTTTGCAAAAGAAAATTAAAACCCAAAATCAAAAAAGAAAAAGAAAAGAAACCTAACAGAGGGAAGAATAGATACCATGAAATCCATGAAGAGAATATGAATCTAGAGAGAAAAGGTAAGGACTTTCAAACTGGTACAGCGTTGAAGAGTGGCTCCACGCAATATTAGGATTGTTGTAGGGATGGGAATGGATATTTTACCATTACCAGGCGTGTTCAGTCTCGGGATATTAAGTTAGAGCAAATTACTTTTGAATATTACATTATTAATAATTTGTACACAATATTTGTTTTCATCCAACTATTAGATCATAATTTTATACTATCATAATTACTTTTATCAAGCTTTTCAAATATTAAACTACAACCACAAGACAATAAAAGAATTCATATTTTATTATGTTTTTAAAACATTATACTAATTTTACTTTACATAATGAGATATTAAATAATTTATACTAATTACATTTTTTTATAAATATGTTCTATATTATAGAATTTTTTTCTTTCTTTTTAAAGTGAGTTATGAAAATAAAGTAATTTAACTTAAAGTACTAAAGTTACATTTTGAACTCTCTTTCATATATATTAAAATATAAAAATTAAAAATTAAGTTCAATAGCATATTTTGTCTTATTAATATCATCTCATTGTTTTCAAGTTCTTAATTACATTTTATTTTTTTAAATGTAACAATTTAGTCATTATTGTAAAATCAACAAAAACATACTAACAATCATGATAAATATGCTATATAAATGTATCACTAGAAATCATATAATAATTAGCAATACATTTATTATCTCTTCACTTTCTTAACGGGTAAAGTGATTAAACTATTACATTTCTAAAATATAAAATCAAATTGAAAACTTCAAAAAAAATTAACTTAAAATCGATAAAATGAAATTAACTATTAGATCTAAAATATACATTTCATATGTAACAACAAACATACGTTGTACTTGTAGTCAGATCAACCTAACGGAGTATGATGTCAATCAATAATAACGAAGCACGTGTAAATATAAGTGTAGAGAATAAAGATGAAACTTTAAAGAACCATCTTCAAGGTACATGTGTTAAACGTTAAATTGATACAAGTGATAAGGTGGATAAGATAAACTTGTTGATCGTTCTAAGTTATGATTGAGTTAGCTATACAGTCTAGGAGTATGTCAGTTGCTTTTGATGGGGGTTAGGATTAGCAGACGACATGTACTTGGTGAAGACATCAATGACTATGTTATAAGCTTTTGAGTGTATAAGGGTAATGAGCGTGTTTGTCATGGTCATGATAGTTTGAAGTTAAACTTTTTCTTTGACTACGTTTGTTTTTTTAATATGGACTTCATTGCTCAAGTAGCTGCTGCTGATTAGCATGGTGACATTGTTATTTATGCCTATAAATTAGGTAACTTAGTTTCACATATGAATTAAAAGGTTGTATTATAAGTCAAAATAACTCTAATTCAACTTCATTGAAATTATAATCCATGTTTTAGGTGAGGTGTTTCCATGTTGTTTATTTGCTTATTTTGTTTTTTTTACAGATATTTACTTATTCATTTGCATTGAAAGGTAGAGAGATGAAAAAAAAAAATAGAAGCAAATATACTTCTTTCTTTTGAGTGTTAGTGACAACTTGTAAATATCTTAAGTTCATAATACTTTACAATCTTTTGGAGAGTATTTGTAAACGTTATAAAGGTTGTAGGTTTATGTATATACAATTTCATGTTTTAAAGTTTATTGGACAACTTAATGTATGAATTGATTTGTTTGGGAATTGTTTGGTTTGGTGATATGAATTGTTTGGGGTTTCAAGGTAAATTGAATGTACAAGAAAATGGTAAAACAAAATGAATCTGAAAAAAAAAAAATCTAACTTACTATAACAAAACTCCAAATACCGACCCACCATAGTAAACCACATTTATTATGACAAGTGATAAAAAAATATGTAATAGTAAGTTTGACTTCCTATGACAGGTTTTCAAAAATGTGTCATAATAATTTGAATTTAGTATGACTATTACTCGTTTACCTATTATAATAAGTTTGATTTACTATGAGAGGTTTTCGCTATGACATGGAAATAATGAACTTTCTATGACTCTCGTAACTATAACACTAGAACACTTATCATAAAACATCATTTTACTTGTCATATAAAGTCTTATCTACATTAGTGTGTTCTTATGTAAGAAGCACCGTGAAACACAAGAAAACACTAGAAAAAGAGGGGATCGTTGAATAATTTTTTAAAATCTTTTTGCAAAACAACATTTAATGTCTTTTTGTAGGATTAGACAATATGCAGTAGTTGTTAGACACATGTGTGTTTAAAAGAACTTTTAGGAAAACTTTTATAAGACAAAACAATAACACGTATTTTTATAGTAGTTCGCTCCAACCTTAACTACGGCCAATTCTTCCTTAAATCCTTTTAAGAAATTTCACTAATCTTTAACAAAGATTATACGAGTATCAACCACTCCTAGACTCAACATTGGTCAATTGACTAGATCTTTTAACTCAACTAAGCTAAACACCAAGTATAAGACTATCACAATTAGTTAGAACTACCACACCACCATCATGTGCCACCATCGCAAAACTAAAACAAGAGAAAAGAAGTGCGGACAAAGCAAACACGAAGGAGAATAAAGAAAAAAACACAAGAAAGGAGAATAAGAAGAAGGAAGATGAGAAAGAGAGTGAAAGTGAGGGAAGAAAATAGAAAAGAGGGAAAAACCATGAAAAAGAGTAAATGTGAGACAAAAGAGATTAGGATCTCAATTTTTAAAAGGTTTAATTGCTTCCTTTGTCCCCAGTTTGGTTGAATTGTGTCAAATTCATCCTCATTTTTAAAAAAGTTTCATTATCATCCTCACGTGGTGTAAAAGTGTCAATTGAATCCAAACATAGAAAAAATTTGTGTCAAAGTAGTCATTTTTCCTATATATCTGTGTCTTCCTTTCATACAATCAAGTACAGATATTCATTTTACCTTATCCAATTTAAGGCTTTTCATAGCTCCAGAGAAGTGACATATGAAAGGAAGACACAGAGATATAGGAAAAATGACTACTTTGACACAAATTTTTTCTATGTTTGGATTCAATTGACACTTTTATACCACGTGAGGACGACAATGAAACTTTTACACCACGTGAGGATGACAATGAAACTTTTTTAAAAATGAGGATGAATTTGACACAATTCAACCAAATTGGGGAAAAAAGGAAGCAATTAAACCTTTTTAAAATTGATAGAGAATTTTTTTTATTAAAGATTCTTATTCTTTATACTAGAGGGCACAAATGGATAAAATTAGTTTTTTTTAAATAAAGTTAGAGGTGCAGAGCAAAATTACGGAGGTGTAGGAAGAACGCTTCTATCATTTTTCTTAAGTTCTATTCACTCGTTTTTAATTCTCTCACCAGAATGTGACGTGGTGTAATATGATTGGTTAATCCTCCAAGTGTAGAAAACGAACTGAAAACGAAAACAGCCTCCAGTGAATCCTGAGACGAAATTGGGTATTTAGGGTTTCTTTTTGTCTTCTTCCTTTCTTACATTCCCCAGTAGTTCTCTCGAACATGGAATCCGAAGGTAATAACCCAATATTTCCACCACCCTCCGAATTTAATTGATTTTGTTTATGGATTATTAAACCTATAACGGAATGCCCTGTTTTAGGACAAAAGGGTACGGTGAACCCGTCCGCAATGTTAGCTTCTCTTCTTAGTAGGAGAGCCAAGCTTCACGAGGAGCTTCGCAACATTGAGAAGCAGGTAATTTTTTTAACATTGCCATCTGGGTTCCTTTGGTTGTTTCGAAAGGAGTAAAAATGTCTCTTTCTTTATCCGGCTACACTTTATTAATTTTTTTGTTCCTATAAAATTGTGATTTTTGTTATAAATTGTTTAATTTTTCACTCATGAAAAGTGTGTTTTTTGTTGGGTTTGTCGATTGATTCCGTGTGCAATAATTGGGTAACGTGTAATTTAACCTAAAATGGGCACGGCATGTACTCCAATATATCGTTTTCATGTATAATCTCGTGACTGGTACTTGGCAATTTGTACTCTTTAACCCTGATGGTTTTAAATTATATGGAATTGAGGTTTCTTGTTGAATTGGGTATATAGTGATGCCCAAACCCCACCCCCTTGCTCAAGTTCATCAAATTGACATAACTAAGTGAACTTAAGCTGCTGAAAAGAACATTTCGTGTGCTCTGTAGGAAGTAGTTGTTGACATTTTCTAAACACACAGGTCTATGATATGGAGACAAGTTATTTACAGGACCCTGGACAGTGTGGAAATGTATTAAAAGGATTTGAAGGTTTCTTATCGTCATCGAAGAACACTGCACTGTATGAATTTCTTCTCACTTTCTCTCGTTCTTTCTTTTTTCTAGACTGTAATGATTTTTTTCCCTATATCAAGTTCTCATAATCAAACAGCCTTTTCCTTCGATGCTTGTAGTGTCTGGGGTTCATTTTATTTCTGCTGAAAAGAATCCATAGCCAGAATCTGTGAGGATGTGCTTTTCAAGTGTGGTGATCTGTTATATACTTGATCACGCGCCATATTTATTGGGCCTTAATATAGATGTTCTGTAATCTTGATTCATTGATGATTGGGAAAAGCTAACTCATAGTTTTGGTAACTTGTATTGATTCCTGATATTCCACATCAATTGATACATTTCTGGGACAGGTCTAGATTCATTAGTAATCGAAATTGACCAATTTCTTTTACTCTGAAATAGAATTGTTCAAAATCTTGAGAAGCACGGATACTTCATGAAGTGTGTCTTTTTATTCATTATTATTTTCTTATAATTAATTTACATGTGTTTTTATGTATGGAAGTCTCTGAGATGACTTAATTTTTTTTCATGCATGTTTTCATTTGTTTTAATTGAGATATAAATTTTATCCTAGTTTGGCACCATGTTGATGTTTACATGACATTAGTGAATCAAATTTCTACATTGCAGCTTGAAAAGGTCTAGAAAGTTTCAGCCTGAAGATAGACTCTTTTCATTATCTTCAGTGACATCACCAGCGGTATGCTTCTGATATTAAGTGATAAGCTTCAACCAGGAATATAAGAAAGGACATGCACTAGCAAATGCTTTATGTGTTTTCTAAGTAGGGATAGTAGAAATATATCTTTGTGCATTTCATCTGTTGTTAAGTTTTTACATC